AAAAGTGATTCGGATAGAACCTCGCATGCTGGAAAGTCAGCATACTATTGCAAAGAAATGAGTCTCAAATTAACAGAAAACAAAGAGGAACAGAAAATCTTGGAGGAAAACGACGAGATTATGTTCGGACATCTTCTGACGATAGAGGTAAAGAAGTGAACCCAGAGCCTTGTTGGGCCTTGTGAACTGATATAGTGTAGGAGAAAACCTTGCCCTCGGCACACTACATGGAACTTCATCAAAACTTACAATGGCGGGATAGAAGAGAGCTCGTCGACCGTTTTCTATCGTATTCTATAAAGTTCCGCATTCCCATGGAGACTGTGTTCCTGGCAATCAACTTTGTAGACCGCTTCCTTTCCAGGAAATGCGCTGGTAAACATCTTGAAGTCTTAGGCTCAGTAGCTTTCGCACTAGCCGTCAAGTACGAGACACCTGACGTGCATGAGAAAGAAACGGAGACTTACCTTTCTGTTCTTCATGATTTAGGGGGGTTTGGCAAAGGATATAGACCGAGCGATATTTCAAGCATCGAGAGGCAATTGCTGGGAGCGCTAGATTATTTACTCGGAACACCTAGCCCCTTTTTCTTCCTGCGTCGCATGCAGATTCTCGACAAAAGTGGTCAAGACATTTTGACAATAGCACAATATCTTGCAGCAAGCAGTATGTTGTACGAAGAGTTCCTTGGGATCAGGCCTAGTCAGATTGCCTCTGCATCATACTTCCTCGCCGAGTCACTCCTGAAGTATGCAAATCATACAGTAGACCTGACAAGCTCTCCCAGACGGGTAAGTAGTGCCTGTAAGGCAGTGATAGTTGCTGACATTACTTAGTCAAGCAGCCGTCAAAAATGTAATGAATGCCAAAAATGCGAGATAATTTCTCTTGCACTCAGACTTTGGTATTGTTTACGTCGAGACAATGGCATTAGGTCCAGAAGTCTGCTCGAAGAGATAACTAGCGAGTTTGCAAAAGCCGGAGCCTTTGTCAAGGCGCAAATAGGAGTGAATTTTCGGTGCACTTGGGCAAACCAAGATTGTTTGCATGTGGAGTCATGGGAGTTGTGGGACAGTGTGGATAGTGGCGAGGATAATGAAGACGATGAAGACGATGAAGACGATGAAGACGATGAAGACGATGAAGACGATGAAGACGATGAAGACGATGAAGACGATGAAGACGATGAAGACAATAAGGAGGATGAGGAGGATGGGGACGATGAGAATGATGGGGATGATGGGGATGATGGGGATGATGGCATAAATGGTGCTGACAGTGTGGGTGGGAAGACTCGGGACGCTTTGCCGCCTCTGATTGAGATGTTGTCTCGCTTTCGAAGCCGCTTGCTCCCTTCTAGGCACATCGCTACTAATTGACACATAAATAGTCACTTTGGTGTACGCAATATTACATGATGGAAAATCATGACATCTGCATTTCTTCCATGATTGCGTTTAAGGCCTTTGCCAAGAAGAAACGGCATCTTATCGATGGGAGCTTCCCTTCGCAGTCACTGTGAAACGGGTGCATACCATAACCGCAACCCTTACCGCAGTCAGGCATCACTGCGTGCCAGTTGCCCAAGGCATAAGCTCAAACGTTCAGAGCGTACTTATTTTCCTTACGATCGAAACGATCAGTCTATGAAGCATTTGTACTAGATGCTGATGACATGGCGACCGAAATGCATTGACTATGGATCAAGAGTCCATCATGCTACCAACGCCTCCCAAATTAAGTGACGTATAAATCTCTCTCCTGAATCTCGTACAAAACATCTGTAATGAACCGTCATTTTTCTTCTGAGCCTGGAAATGGATTATCATAGGAAGGCTGTTCCTGAGAGACGGCTGTCGATGAGAATGCTACGATGCCTAGAGTATGCGTGCACCTGGCCCTGATGGATTGGGTGCACCATGAACCTGGAGCCCAATTTCACATACATTATGGAGCAGGACTTGTCACATATGCAAGTTAGGACCGAGGAGCCGACTTCCATGGACACTATGGATTGAAAGCTATCATACACAAGAAACATGCAGGGTGAAGAGCGATTGCCCTGTCGAGATGTCTCGCACCTATTCTTGCAGCTATTTATGGCCTCGGCTTGCCTCTCA